CAGAGCCCTGACCCGTAGGCCCCGGCCCCCCCCAGACCCTGGCCTCCTCAGAGCGCCGACCCGTAGGCCCCGGCCCCGCCCCGGCCCCGCGGACCCCTCAGGCCGCCCCGGCTCGCGGGGCGGCGTCGTCGGCGGGCTCACCGGTGCGGGGCTCCGCCTGCGTCCCGGCCGCCGCGCTGGCCCAGCTCCCGCGTCCCCGCCGACCCCGCAGCGCGGCCTCCCCGCCCGGCGTCCCACCGTCCGCCAGAGGCGCCACCGACGCGACCCGTCGCCGCCCGCCCCTGTGACGCACTTCCGCTTCCGGCGCTCGGGCCAGCGGAAGCGGCCGCGCGGCGGCTCCGGGTTTCTCCTCCCGGCCCTGGCCCCGCCCCCGGGGGCGGGACTTCCGGCGGGGGCCCGGGGTGGGGGCGGGTCGGCCCGGGCTGGACACTGCGCATGCGCGAGCCCGCCCCACCCCCATGCGGCCACCTGTCTGGGTCCGAGCGGGGGCTGCACCTGCCGCGGGACATTAGGGGCTTCCGGAGCGCTCGGGGCTGCGGGCCTAGGTTGTTATTCTAATCCTACATCCCAGAGGACAGTTCAAGTTAGTTCCAAACTTGCTGTTTATTGTCTATTAATTTTTAAACCATTTTTACTTTCTTGCGTATATTGCTTAATTGCATAACTATATCTAAATACATAACATAAACATAAACGTATAGCATTTTTATATTTCTCCTTTAAATTTGTATATTCTTATGTAACAATTATTTAGTTTTAATACTATATGCCAATAACCTATAAATGATATATTTGCTGTCTGTATTTTATGCACCGTATTATTTTTAAATGTTTAATAATATCTAAATTTCAAGCATAAACATGGGATAATATATCTCAAATATTACACATAGTATACTTCATGTAATAGGTTTTTGTGTAATTTTACAAATCATATATTTTATACATAATGACATACTTTATATAGTTGTGTGATATAGTTACAAATTAACGAAGTCTAATTTATTCAGCTCCCACCTTGTGCCCCATGCTGCCCAGGGCATGGGCTTCTGATGCCCCAAATAGGTTGCAAGTCCTCAAACTGAAAATCCAGTGTGTCGGAGAGCAAGAACAGGGGTCACAGCATCCGCTTCAGAGGGGGCGAGCGTGGGTGAGGGGCCCCTGAAAGCAAGCAGAGTTTTAAAAGCAAAGGGGGGCCTGGGTATTTTCTGGGTGTCTGCTCTGTGAGTCACCTTGTCCCGTTAATATGCTGTCCATCAAGGCAAATATGATCCTGGTGAGGAGGAAACCGAGGCTCCAGGGCGACCCCAGGTAGGCGGACCCCTCTTTGAACCCAGGCAGGCTTCTCGGTGGGGTATGCATCTTTGCTGTCTTCATTTAATTTCTCCTTCCCCTTCGGGACCCAGATGTGCTTCGTGTTGTCTTTGAAACCAGTCTCCCAAAGGCCACTTGTGTGTGTCGATGGCGTGTTTCTTTCCCCCGGGGAACTGTTAAATTTGGAAACCGCTTTTCCCGTCTGCTCTCGAAGCATTTGCAAAGCAAATTAAGAAATGAGTACTCACTCCTTCGCAACCCCCGAGTCTAAGAGATGATTATAATAATTTGTGAAATGTTTGAGGAAAATCCTCTTAAATTTTTTGAGCAAAACATCCCTCCTCTGGATACCCCTCAGAAGCAGAAAAACGTAGTTCCTGATTACCAGCAGCTCTGATCCTTTCTCCTACTGTGGCATGTGCGTGGCTGTATGAATCATAAATCTCTCTCATGGAGTGTGGATGGGGACTGGAAATATGAAGGAATCTCCCTCGCAGGATTATATGGGAAAGCTGAAAGAATTTTGCCGTTGTCATTACAGCCCCTACTCGGTTGATTCCAGCCAATCGACAGGGAGATGATGATTCTGGGTGGGCCTCCCCTAATCAGCGTACGTGTCAGAGTTAAGAAGTCAGAGAGATTTGAAGCAACACGGGCGCAGCCGGGCTGCCTCGAGGAAGCCAACTGCCTTGTGGAGAAAACCACTTGGCACGACTTGGCAGGCGGCCTCTGGGAGACTCTGGGAGACGGCAGCCTCCACGCTCCAACAACACTTCGCCTTGAGCGAAGTGGCTTAAACAGCAGAAATTGATCCTCTCACGGTTCTGGAGACCAGAAGTCTGAAATCAAGGTGTGGGCAGGGTTGGTTCCTTCTGAGAGCTGTCTCCTGCCTCTCTCCCAGCTTCTGGTGGTTTGCTGACAATCTCTGGGGTTGCTTGGCTGGAAGATGCATCGCTCCAACCTCTGCCTCCACCTTTGCATGACCATCTTCCCTCTGTGAGTGTCTGTCTCTGTGTTTCTTCTCTTCTTATCAGCAGACCCGTCGTGTTGGATTAGAGCCCACCCTACTACACTCTGACCTCATCTTAATGTAACTAATTATGACGCAGGGGTACCTACGGCCAAGCCAGCGGTAGGCGTTCCATGAGACGCTGCAAGAACTGAGTCCGGCAAACTGGATGCTTGTTTCTGAACCCAGAGTCCATCGAACACTGGCTTCCTTCTGGATTTAAGCACTTCCCTCCACGTGAGAAACCCTCCCCACTGTGTCTTCCTTCCTTTCACTTTGACCCAGGTTCGGAGACTCCATTATTTATTCCTGCAAGAAAAATGCATCGGGATGTAAGTATGTGGATCTATCATTGTATGCAAATATGTATGCATGCATCTATCTATCTGGTAATCTATCCATTCACCGATGTATCCATCCATTGATCCGTGTATCCACCCTCTTACACATCCATCCATCCATCCATCCATCTATCCATCCATCCATCCATCTATCCATCCATCCACCTATCCATCCATCCATCCACCCACCCGTCTGCTCATTCATCCACACTCCAGCCACCTATCCTTCCATCCAACAACCCATTTGTTAACTCATCCATCCATCTATCCATCCATCCATCCATCCATCCATCCATCCATTCAACCATTCATTCATTCATCCACTCATTCATCCACTCATGAATCCACCCACCTCTTCATCTGTCTCTCCATCCATCCACCCATCCATCTGTCCATTCATCCACTCACACATCTCTCCATCTATCCTCCAACCACTCCACATTCATCTACCTGTCCATCCATCCATCAGCCCTTCTGTCTACTCCTGCATCCATCCATTCATCCTCCCATCCACCCACTCACCCACCTCTCCTTCCACCCCTCCATCCACCTACCCATCTAGTCATCCCTCTCTCCATCCATCTACCCCATAAATCCATGCCTCTCAAGCCTTTATTCAGAAGTCCTTTCCGCTAGATGGCGCACTCGACACCTTAATGAACAAGGGAGGGAGGTGCTCCGTATTAGTCCTCTCATCTGGTCATGAAACCAAGATCTTGAGGGTCAGCTAATCCATCAACCGTCCTCAGCAAAGACATCAACCCAGCGGTTTCCCATGAACGTTACCCTATTTATGAAATCCGCCCTCTGCCACTCATTCTCTTATTAGATAATTCTTTATCTGTCCCCAAACTTTTAATTCCACACGTGCTAGCCCTAAGCAGCATGATAAGATGAAAAGGGCGTTATGTGGCCTTTGAAGTGGCCACAGCATGAGCCGGAGACAGAAATGCACTCTCCTCTGCCAGTGTTGGCGGTTTCATTAGCCTGATTTTCTAAAGGAAATTCAACAAGGGCTATTAACTGCCAATTTTAGCGTGCCCACATTCTCTTTGACTCAGCAGTCCTGCTGCTGGTAATTCGTGCTGCAAAATTATTTCCCACAGAGATACAAAGGCATATGTGCAAGTCATATTGCATATGCATATGTGTCTGTATATATTCTCTCTATATGTGTTTGCATGTACCATATATAGCATGCCTGTATGTCATGCATATATATATATATTCCTGACAGGCATAAAAGGTATCTGTGCCATTAGTGCTTCTGGCAGCATCCATTATGAGTCTTGAAATTAGAAACAGCCCCAATGCACACATGTAGGGTGCTGAGGAAGCCATAACAGTACACCCTTGTGCTGACTCAGGCATAGATGGACGCACCCAACAGGAAGCAGCATTGCATGAACACGGCATGTTGCAGATGTGTGACAACCCCCGCTGATGCAATGATCTGGTATTCGACGGTGATCTCAGAGTGTGTGACCAACGCTTTGGGGTGGGGGAGCTGCGGCACTGTAGAAGACGGAGAAAGGAGGATAAGGGTGGGATAAAGGACTCAAAACGAAATCAAGAGTGTCCAGTTGACCCGGTGTGGAGGCATAAGAATGACCCAGGTTCTGGCCCCTGGGTGAGGTGATGAGGTGACCTCCGAGGGGAAAACCAACCGGGAGAAGGTGCAGTTTGGGGTAGGAAGGAGACGAGTGAGTCCAGTGGGGCTGATGTTGGCTTGGAGGCACCTGCAGCCTTGATGGAGCTGCCCAGTAGGGTCAAAAGTCCAGAGTGAATCCAGGACCGGGAAAAATCAGGACAAGGGAGCCACAGCTCTGGGACAGAAGGAGAAGAAACTGTGCACACCCATCAGTCCATCCATCTATCCCCCAATTCATCTATCCATCCATCCATCTATCCCTAATTCATCTATCTATCCATCCATCATCCATCCATCCATCTATCCATCCACCCATCCAATTCATGTATCCATCCATCCATCATCCATCCATCCATCCATCCACCAATTCATGTGTCCATCCATCCATCTATCCCTAATTCATCCATCTATCCATCCACCCACCCATCCATCCAATCAATCATCCATCCATCCATCCATCCATCCATCACCCAATCCATCTATCCATCCACCAATTCATTTATCCATCCATCCATCTACCCGTCTATCTACCACTTCATCTATCCATCCATGCATCTTTCTACCCGTCAATTCATCCATGCATCCATCCATCCACTAAATCAATTTATCCATCCATCCCCCTACCCACCCATCCATCCATCTATGCCAGCATCAATGCACGACAATATGCATGAAATATTGCCAACCAGGGAAGCTCGCGTGAGCTTTGGCGTCCATTTTTTATTGGTGTTCAATCACATACTGTCCATATGCCTCCCTCTTAGTCTCCAGCCCCTTCTGGAGGTTGCAGACAATACCTTTAGCCTCCATCCTCTCCTGGAGGTTGGAACTGGTGTGGCGTGTCCCAAAGCCCCCAGCATCCACCACCTCATTAAACAGTCCAGCGGCTAAAACCCCCAGGCCAAGAAAGGCACGTCTATCAAGGAGGACATTGCAGGGGCCTGGAGACCGGCTCTCAGGAGCAGAGGGCCATGCCAGACGTGTCTTTGGGTGAGGTTAAGTCTTCACGTATGCAAAAAACAAAGCACAAATTATGGTAAGCTTTGAAGAAAGATGTGAACGGTGATATGAAGCCGGGGAAGGGCGGGGTCCCCTCAGGAGAACACCGCGGGAGCTGTGAGGGTGGGCCCTGCACGGCTTGTCGAAGGAAGTGGAGGGGAGCCTTGGCCTCTTGGCGCCAGAGTGAGTGGCATCGTCCCCTATGTCTACACAGGGCGTGGGAGTGAGGAGTGGCTGGATGTGCTTACGGGGCTTTCCGTGGGGGAGATCACAGAAACCTGTGGGATTTCCAGGAAAACGGAATATCCTGGCGGGTCGAGATGAGGCTGAACCCTACAACCCGCTCTCCGGATCCAAGGGAGGGGGGATCCTGTGGTCGCATCTCGCTGGGTTAAGATCGGTCTCATCTCCTACTTCCCCTCGCCCGCGTGGCCTGTCACGCGATCGCACAGATCAACGCGGCGTTTCCTGGGGCTGAACATCTGTTCGGCGAATGCCCTCCTCAGTTGGGTCCGAGACAGTCTCTACATTTTCAGCACAGCTTGTGCTTGCTGTGTAGACAGGGGTAGAGTGTCTTCATGCTTTGATGCCTTCTCCGTCACTTCTGAACAACCTTCCTTAAACATCCACCTTCCTTCCCTGAAAATCGGCATCCTTAGCTTTGGGATTTTTTTTTTTTTTTAATAAATTGTGGCAGCCTCACCTCTGTAGGTCAATTCATAGTTGCCGTGGGGTCCTTCAGCCCACTCTGCCTTTCTCTTTCCTCCGCTGCATCATCATGGACCTACAATTTGGACATAGAAAAGCCTAAGGGGTGGTCGGCACGGGGAGACAGAGGACACCCCAGCCCCCGGAAATGGCCTAGGGGTGGGTGAGGTTGCAAGGAGAGACGGTCGATCCCGTGTCCAGCTCTATTCATGCTAAGATCACAAGGATCCAGCAGCGTGGGTGAGGCAGAACCGAGGACCACTGTGGTTTATCTGTGCTGGGCCGCGAGGTGGATGCCAAGTGATTCGGGGAAAAATGTCATTGAAAACACGACATCATGATTAAGGGCTGGTTCGTGTGATGCAAATTCCAGGAGGCAGCTAAATTCTGGTGCACAAGTGATACTTGAAGGAGATATGCCACGGCGGGGAGGGGGGTGGGGGGGTATTATTTCCTCTGCGAAGAGGAGCAAATCAAATCTTGTGAAGATCAGGTACAGGGCGGCCTCAGAACAGGAAATAAGGATACGAAACTGAGAGGCGGAAGTGTCCCTCCCTTGAGAGAAATGACGTCTTCGTCTTTCTCAGCGGCGTGCTGGCCTTTGCTCTGCTCTTCAGGGTCAATGGGACGGTAATTCAGGTAATTCAGAAAGGAGGGTGCTGGGCCAGGGTGAGCTGAACCAGGTGGACGCAGAGCCTCCAGAACCAACTGAGCGCAGATGGGCCATCTCGAAGGTTCCATTGGCAGGGGACAGTGGGGGGAGGCCCAAGACAGTGGTCCCCGTCAGGAGGCCCCCATCCATCCACGCATCCATCCACCCGTCCATCCATCTATCCATCCATCCATCCACCCATCCATCCATCCATCCACCCATCCGTCCATCCACCATCCGTTCATCCATCCATCCATCCGTCCATCCATCCATCCATCTATCCATCCGTCTATCCATCCATCTATCTATCCATCCATCCATCTATCCATCCATCTATCCATCCATCCATCCATCCATCCATCCGCCATCCATCCATCCATCCATCCATCCATCTATCCATCCATCCATCCATCCATCCATCTATCCATCCATCTATCCATCCATCCATCTATCCATCCATCCATCCGTCCATCTGTCCATCCATCTATCCATCTATCCGTCTATCCATCCATCCATCCATCCATCCATCCATCTATCCATCCATCTATCCATCCATCCATCTATCCATCTACCCACCCACCCATCCCGTTTATATTTCTACTCTCCTGACTTTAATGGAAACGTCCTCACCACACATATTCTCAAACTCTCCTTCACTCATCTCATTTTCAGTTGAGAGAATTGCGGCATTTGACAATTTCTCTGGACCAAGTGACCATCAGCCTCTTCTAATGTTTAATCAGCTCCATCTCGCTGGTCCTGTGCTTGTTTAAAATGGTAATCTGCTGTTCACCACAGATGTTTTGCATCGATTTTTATCGTTGTTAAATATGGCGTGAGATGCTCCTCCTTAGCTTCACTACTGAGTGTGGGGCACGGATATTTATCACCTCCCCAAGGAGATGCGATCAACAAACGTAGGGAAACTCTCATCGAGTGTTTTGTTCTGTTTTGTTTTCCCCTGGCAGCTGGGTCGCCAGCACATCTGAGTCACCCCGCCCTGTAGGTACCATCGTTCCGAGGAGCTGTTGTTACGCTGGCCTTGCTCCGAGGTGGGGCTTCCGTGAGCGTTCGGCACCGCCACAGCGAGAGAGAGGAGGTGCGTGTGGCTGTTCATTTCCTGCCTTTTTTCAGTTCCATTTTACCTCATCACCTACCAGGCATGGTGCGGCCACCGTGACAAGACTGACACTTAAATTCCGGGGGCATCGCTGCCGTGACCCCCGTTCCCTCTTTCTAACCGGGAGGGGCTCAGCATCCCCTGATGCCAGGACCCCGGTGCCCGGGTCTCTCCATAAGCCCACCAGCTCCCTAGTAGTCACTGCATCTCCTTCCTGTCCTGGGTGGCTGCAGAAATGTCACCCAGGAGGCTCTGGGCTGCCTCGATGGACCTGGATGTTCTGGGAGCATCTGAGCATCCTGCACCCAGGACACGGATGCAGGGGTGCAGCGAGGGGTGGAGCTCAGGCTGCTCCAGACGGCGTGGGTTCAAGCGCCCGCTCTGCAGGGTGCTGGCCTGTGACCTCTTGGACAAGGCACAGGCCGCCCCCCTCCCCCTGGCGTCTCGGCTTCCTCCTTTGTCAAGGGAGAGCGGAGACAACACTTGAGGGTGAGGACCACCCCGGGTGCCATGCTTCAAACCGCCCCACGTGAGCGGGCTGTTGACTGCACTTATCAAATGACACCTCCTCACCGCACACCCCTGAGGATGGCCACTATAAAAACAAAAACCAAACAAAAAAAAAACAGAAAACGACAAGTGTGGGTGAGGATGTGGAGAAATTGGCGCCGTTGTGCCCTGTGGGTGGGAATGCAAAAGGGTGCAGCCGCTGTGGGAAAAAAATAGGGGGGCTCCTCAAAAATGAAACACAGAACCACCCTGTGATCCAACCATTGGGCTTCCGGGTCTATCCCCAAAGAACAGACAGCAAGGACTCAAAAGAGATATTGGTACACCCACGTGCATTGCAACGTTACTCACAGTAGCGAAAACGTGTGGGTCAACCCGGCCGGGTCGCAGCACCCCAAAATGAAATGGGGGCCAAGCATTGTTCTGGATGCTTCTGTGAAGTGGATGAGAGTAATATTTAACTCGGCAGATTTTGAGTCAAGCAGACTGGGTGGGCCTCGTCCAATCAGTCGAAGGAGCGCTACGCTAAATCTCTGTCTGGTTGGCCCAGCCCAAGTCAGGGATCTGAATCCAGGGCCCAGCCGTTTCTGGGGTTGGCGCAGGGCGGGGGGGTGGGTGGGCGCTGATCGCTGGCATCAGCTTGTTCAGCAGGACGCCGTCCCGGGGTCTCACAGAGGTCTCACCTCTGACCCTATGAAGCTCTCGTCCCACCTGCCAGTGAGCAGACGCCACCCTCGGAAAGACACAGACGCTCCGGAAGCCCCGGGACCTTGGAAATACCCCGCAGGCCGCACGCACTTTGCCCGGAATGACCCCAGACCCTATAGGCCATCCTTCCTTCTAATCGTGGACCCACCGCAAGGACCAGATGTCAGAAATCCCCGCTCTTAGGGGAGAGTGACAAGTCCAGCACCAAACCCGCAAAGACCCGAACATAGACCAGGTCTGTGTAGTTTGGACAGAAAAAAAGTTTTCCCTTCGGATTTGCACCCCGAATCCTAGGCCGGAAAAGATCTCGTCTTGGAGGTATCTAATCTCGGGTCCTCAAGATGCACAGCACGCCCCTTCTGTTCCCTTTGTGTGAAAAAAAAAAATTGATCCCTTCAAACCAACTCCAGCCGAACAGGAGGTGAAGCAAAAATCTAGAATTTACAAATGGGGCGGCTAGGATGGACAATAATTGCCAGTGAAGCATCAAAATTAAATTTAAAAAAGGCATTGTCAAGGTGCAATATATAAAAAGATACGTTCGCATTATATGTAGCGATTCATACGCACTGGTGGGACTACAATATATTTCCAAAGGACCGTGTAGAACACACGGTTTGAGACAAAAGATGTAAAATGTTTAAAGACGCAGACGACAATAAATTAGGGGGGAAAAAAAAGCGGTTCGATGCAGTTGCTTTTCGCTGCAAAGGCGGGGACAGGTTGCTCTTTGCCAAACACCCAAATAATCCGGACTGAACATAATTCCAGCGAGTGTAGCCTCATCAACAGAAAAATGACGAAACAAAGTAAAACGCTTTCAACGAGGAGCCAAAGAGCCGAGGCCGTTTCTGCTGAGTCCCGGTCCACACGCCCCGTTTTCTCGGGCGGGTCCTTCTTATTCAAATCAGAAGAAAAGGTTTGTTAAGAAGAAAAGAACCAGGACAGGACAGGAGGACGTCGAGGAGGCGGTGAGGCCAAAAAAAAAAATAGATGGATGGATGGATGGATGGATGGATAGATGGATGGATGGATGGATGGATGATGGATGGATGGATGGATGGATGGATGGATGGATGGATGGATGGATGGATGGATGGATGGATGGATGATGGATGGATGGATGATGGATGGATGGATGGATAGATGGATGGATGAGATGGATGGATGGATGGATGGATGGATGATGGATAGATAGTAGATATAGGTAGACAGATGGATAGATAATTGGTGATAGATGATAGAGAAATGATAAATGATAGATATACATAGAATGGTGATTATACATCTATGATAATAGGTAGATGATAGATAATAGGATGGATGGATAGATAGATCGGTAGATGGATAGATGGATGGATAGATAAATGATAGATAGACTGGATAGAGAGAGATGATATATAGACAATTGATAGATAATAATACACATAGAGATGATATATATGATGATGATAGATTGATAAATACAGATAGACAAGATATATAGATTATAGATAGATACAGATAGATAGGTAGATAGATAGACATAGGTAGATAAATAGATATAGATAGATAGACAGATAGATATAGGTGGGTGACAGATAGATAGATAGATGATAGATTGGATAGAGAGACATGATTATAGACGATTGATAGATAATAGATACAGATAGAGATGCTATAGATGATGATGATAGATAAATGCAGATAGAGGTGATATACAGATTATAGATAAATAGATAGATACAGATAGATGTGTAGATAGATATAGATAGATAGATAGATAGATAGATCGCGATAGATAGATGATAGATATAGGTAGATTATAGATAGACAGATAGATCAATAGATAGATATGATAGAAAGGCAGATGATAGGTACATAGAGATGATATAAGGATAGAAAATAGAGAGATGATAGATTGGATAGAGAGAGATGGTCTGTAGATGGTAGACTGATAGATGATAGGTGCACAGATACAGATAGAGATGATACACAGACGACTATCATGATAAATAGGTACAGATGATGCATAGATGATAGATAGACAGATATTATAGATAGACATAGATAGATGATAGGTAGATGACAGATAGACAGATATGAAGCATAGATGTGATAATGCAGTGTAGAGAGGTGGATGGATGACAGACGGACGAGGCTCCTCGCCCGTGTCCAGCTCCCGAAATGGGGGAGCCTGAGGATGGAAGGAGGAGCCCTTCAGCCCTGAGCCGCTCCGTCTTCGCCGTGACGAAGGGGATGTGCCGTGGGGTGGCCAGCCCCGGCCCAGAGGAAAACCCCAAAACCACACGG